TTGATAAATATTTTTATACACATCTTGTACTCAAATGTGTTACTGATCATTCACGCATTAAAATTCCATATCGTAAACTATCTCTCAGCATAGGCAGCTCTGATAAACAAAGTTTGAGTCCATTTCCCAATAACTCATGCAATTTAGGGCATTTTAATACTGTTTGAGCTCGAGTAGAGTTAGCTGTTTATCACAATAAAATTAATATTATGTTTGTTAAAAAATATTGGTAGCTTTTTGTAATAAAAACTTGGTATAATCCGGTACAACTCTAAAAATCTTTTAGGGCTGTACCGGATTTAATTTTTTCCAAATCCGGCCGTGGCCGGATTAGCCAGAGTTTTGCCAAAAAATCCGGCTGAAGCCGAATCTGGAGCTGAATTTTGAAACAAAATTACAGAATCTGAAATCCGGAACATCTTTACATGACATTGATAATGGTCAACATTGTTGACCATCCTCAATACCAAGAGACAACTGTTTTTTGTTAAATTTCGTTGTTCATATTAAAATAGGACACAATTTCACATAACTTAACATAATATAACACAATGAATAATAAATGATTGAAATTTTAAATTTAAAAGTCAAGTAAAGTAACTTCAGTTTCAATTGTTTTTCTAAATTGTCTTTAATCAGTTTTGAATTGTATAGAAATATTAGGCAAGCTGCATTATGCGGCAGTAGTGAACTACGGTGATCATTGAGGACCTCCCCAGCAACACTGAACACACATTCTGATGGTACACTTGTTGGTGGGGTACCCAAATAAACTCGAGCTACTGTTAACAGAGCTGGCAATCGTTGCATGTTGTCACTCCACCACTGTAGTGGGTCAGCGTGTCTATCTATTTCTGGTTTAGCCAGATACTGGTTTAGCCAGATACTGGTTTACCCAGATACTGGTTTAGCTAGGTATCAATGCCTGTTGGTAATTGTTGTTCGTGTACTGTGCCACCAACGGACGTAGACTGAATAATTTCATCAATACATTGCGAGAGTAATGATGATGTAGAAAAGTTATCCATTCGAGCTTCTTTTGCTGGACCTTCTTCGATTTTGTCAATCTGCTGCTCGACATGCTTGGATTGACTTCCAACTTGCATCGATAACTTCTGCACTGTAATTTTATTAAATGCAAGGAGAACCGCTGCTTTTGCAGCTGTTATTGTTGCTTGTGATGAAAAGAATTTTGTTTTAAATCTTGGATCAACCAGTGTCGCCACTGTATAAAGAGCTTTCTTCTCAATGTCTTCAAAACTCTCATCTAATGACTTAAGTAGAGTTAACTTCATAGTCTTTACACCTGCATCATTGCCTTCTTTATTCAACAAGTTCCACAGAGCTGTTACAATAGGGATAACCAGTGATATATGTGCTGTTTCAAAGCTAACTTCACGAGTAGCCTCTTCAAATGTAGCCAGCACACTTACTGTATTCTCAGCCACAGACCATTGATATGCAGTTGGACAAGAAGTTCCTTCTACTTCATAACAGTAGACAGTTAATGCACGACGCTGTTCACATAGTCGACGCAGCATGTAAAACGTTGAGTTCAATCTTGTACTAACGTCTTGTATAAGCTGGTGGTCAGATAAACAAAGTTCAGCCTGCAGCTCCTTGAACCGAACAGTCGCAGAGGAAGAATGCTTAAAATGACCAACTAATTTCTTTCCAATACTTATTATATTGGATAATGCCGGCTGGCTGAGCAAGCCATCATGCACACATAACTGAGTAGTATGTGCAAAGCACCCGAGGCTTTCTATGTTGGCATCAGGGAAACATTTTAATATGTTTGCCGCATTGTCTCGAAGTATGACATGACAGCGTCCAACGTCAATGTTCCATTTGCCAAGCATCTGCTGAAAGGCAGTCATTAGTGCAGGGGCAGTATGATGCCCAACAAATGGCATACAATCTAACACAAAGCTCATATTTTCAAAGTCCTCTGTCAGCCAGTTGGCAGTTAAGCCCATGAATGATTGTACAGTATTTGACGTCAACTTTTACCTTTAACGTTTTACAAGACAACACGTTTTTTAAACTTTAACTTAAAGTTTAAGTTAAGAAAAACATGATTTTTCGCGCAAATTTTTTTTGCTCAAAAGTCATAAATTTTAATTGTTGCAATAAACCTAATTGATGACTTCTGATTGAAAACGTTTGTGTGAAAATTAAAGTTGCTTTAAATGAATAAATTAAATGATAAACTTAATACAAAGTAGTTTTTTGCATTGCTTTGTAATATACTTATATAATATACAATATAATATACATTTAATTTTATTAAAAATAATACATTTTATAATAGTAAAAATTGAACTATATACAATAAGTGTTAGTCGCATTTATAATATATTGTTTTATTTTATTTTTATTGTTCTATTTTATTCAAATTTGTAATACATATTGACCTCACTTAAGACATACCTCAAATTATAATATATATTTATCCACGCTTGTGTTTTCACTTCAGACTCTCTCTTGTGTCTTCATTTTAAAATACCTTTTTTTCAAAAATTTCTTCTTTTCAGAATTTTTTGTTGAATTGTTCTTTGAAATTAGGCTTAGTTAGTTTAATTGGAAAGAAATAGAGATACCATCACTAAAATGGAGTTCATTAGTTATAGAATTTCAAAGAATATTGATTTGTCTAAATAAAATTTTAAGTATACATGTCAACACGGGCAAAAAAAGGTGTAATAAATATCTGACCAAAATTCCGAAATCCTGCTAAAATTTAGCCAGATTTTCTACATTTATACCGGAGCCGGATTTGGGCCGGATTTGTGTTGTAGTAAAGTTGTTGTGTTGTTGTAGTAAAGCTTTTTAAGCAAGCAACCATGTTTGATTGATAACTATATTGAAGCAAGCAACCATGTTTGATTGATAACTATATTGAAGCAAGCAACCATGTTTGATTGATAACTATATTGAATACTAATTTGATTGAATACTATCAGCATGGTGGCCACAGTCCTGGAATGTCCTGGATTTTTGCAAGTGTCCTGGAATGTCCTGGAAAATTGCATTTTTTTCAAAAATGTCCTGAAATGTCCTGAAACTTTTTTTTTCTGAGTTAAGTTAAAAAATTACTAATAATATTGAAGTAATATTAAATTTTTTATGCAAATTTTTTTTTTATATAAATGGTTTGAATTTAATTTTAAATAAGAGAGTAATAATTATATAATAATATAATATTCTATTCTATAATTTAATCAATATGAAAAAAATATAACGTAAAAATAATTGATAATATTCATTTAATAATATGTATATATGTCCTGGAAAATGCAACAAAATGTCCTGGAATGTCCTGGAATTTATCTTTTAAAATTTTGTGGCCACCATGTATCAGTATTCTGCTTAATTTGTTTATTTTTATCATTTTCAATTAAGGTTTTTGTTTTAGTCCTACAGAGTTAAGAGAGGGTTATTTAACTAATTTAAAAAATAAATAGGTCTCTTGCACTGTAGTGTGCCTATTTGGTGTTATAAAACTTATCTTGGCATAATCTCCCCCAAACAAGTTTTTTGAACTACAAATTAATTTGCAAACTGTCGTAATTGACAGTTTGCAAACTGTAAATAAAATAAAACTAAAATTTGATTATTAAAAAGTAAAGCTAAAAATATATTATTTTTGATTGTGACTATTGTAGTTGTAAACTGAAGTTAGTTTTTAAAAAGTTTTTTGATTAAACATTACATTTTTTCCTTAGTTAATAAAATGCTTCCATTACCTCTGTTTCTTAATTTGCACTAAATTTTTGAATTACTTCTTTATTATAGATTTTCTTCAAATTTAGTATATATACTTTTTTTTCAATATTCAATTACTAATTTTGCAATAAGTCAAATGGCTTAGTTAATTTTAATTAATTTCATTTTTATATGGAAGAAAAATAACATTTATAAGGTAATTTTTATATGGAAGAAAAATAACATTTAAAAGGTGATTTTTATATGGGAGAAAAATAACATTTAAAAGGTGATTTTTATATGGAAGAAAAATAACATTTAAAAGGTGATTTTTATATGGAAGAAAAATAACATTTAAAAGGTGATTTGTGCCCTATATGACTTAGTAGGAATGTGGGTGTCTGAGTTATTGAGTTTAAAATAAATGTCACTGGTGACTTTTTTTCTCTTACTATTTTAAATTTTAAATTAAATATGCTTCAAAAAAATATTTAATTTGTGAATTTTATAATTAATTACTTGAATAAAAAAAAAAGGATTATTAAATTAGAGTTTTAGCAACAAAAAGTATAATTATTTGTTCATTATAATCTTATTATCTTAATCAGATGTTATGTCTTGGAAAGATAAATTTTATCTATACAAAAATATTTCTATATTTTAAGTTATACAAGACATTTAATCAAAGAAATTAATTATAAGCATTTAGCAATTGGCATTATATTTGTACAATTAAAAAGTATAAATTAAATATATTTTTAAAATTTTTAGGCTTATAATTTAAACTTCCAATTTACTTACCATAAAGTTCAGTCTTCTACTTTACATTTTTTCAGAGATAATAATAAAATAATTGTAATAAGAAACTTTTTTGGTTCAAATTTTTTTGTTTGTTAGTTTTGCAGAAAAATTATAAATTAGTGGTAAATTATAAAAAGCATTTAATGGTAGCTTATCTAAAGTATATATAATTATCAAAAGGTGCTAAGTCCAAGTCCGAGCAACAAGATAAAATAATATTTTCTTGATCAGGATCAAAAGTCTTTTATTAGATCTGATATTTAAATAGATGATACATTTCTGTATATAAAATTTGGAAATTAAATAAACTCAAAATGTCCATTTCATCAAAATGTTCAAAATGTTTTAAGTTCACTTCTCATTTAACAAATTTAATTAAATATTTGTTACATCAAAATTTAGTTTGTTGAAAAAAAAACAAAATTTTGATATAATAATATTTTACACAACTTTAAAAAAAGTTATAAAAGAGATGTATCAATTGTTTTTAGAGTAAGCTACTGCAATCAAAGCTTTTGCTCCAATGACGAATTATGTATTCATTCAAAAAATTGTACTTGTGACGATTTTCAGAATAGAGAATTTTGTTTACTTCAAGCTCAACCTTACTGCTGCATTTCTTATAATTTGGTTACAGGAAAGAGCATTTGTGAGCAATGCACAAGTGATTTAAGTAAATTTCCAAGTGAGTTTTATTAAATTACTAAAACAAGAATTAACTTCAAATATTTGATTAATATATTGTATTAAATAAAATTCAATGTTAAATATTTTTTGTTTTTTGATTCGCCTTTTTATTTATTTTATTCAGTAGACTTTTATTCATTCACCTTTAACCCTTTATTCATTCACCCTTAACCCTTTATTCATTCACCATTAATCCTTTATTTATTCACCCTTAACCTTTTATTCATTCACCCTTAATTATTTATTCATTCACCTTTAATCCTTTATTGATTCACCCTTATCCCTTTATTTATTTACTCTTGTTATAATCCTAAATGTTTATTTATTTTTTTGAAAAACATAAATCAAAACTATTGCAAATCAAAGCTATGTTTTTGAGCATTTTTTAAATGACAACTAAACATGTTGTTCTCAAAAGTATTTTATGCATCATAATACTTTTGTAACAGTAGTAAACAATAGAATGGGTTTTCATAAGAGGTCAGAAGAGAGCAATAAATCCAAGGCGGCAAAAAGTTAAAGACTCGTGATTGGTTTAATAAAAAAGTAGACAACTCTAATTTAACTCTAATCTAATAGTAATTTTTTTTTACTAATAGTAATTAGAAAATTTTATTATTTATATAATCTGCTTTTTAAATAGTGTTTATACATCAGTATAACATTTTATATTTAAAGCATTTTTTTTAAATCAAGGTTAAACTTAAGGTCTAGCTACAAAAAGTTGAGTTTAAAATCAAAATAGAATTCTCAGTCTCAAAAGTTTTGACTCTTAGTTCAAATTATTTTTACTAAAATTAGTTAATAAATGTATACTAAAAAAAACAACTCATGCAGGTGCAGAGCAGATGACCTTCCTTGTTTTTGGAAGGTTAAAATTACCTGTTTTGTCGTCTTTTATTTTATCATCAGAGTGATTTCATATTTATTCATCATCATTTGTTTTATCATCATCTGTTTTATCATTTTTTATCATTAGAGTGGTTTAATATTTATTTTTTAAATATATATTTGTCTTTCAAGGTTGAGGGTGCTAATTTAATTGAGAAAGTGTTTAAAGTCCAAACCTTAAAATATAAGCGACTGCATAGAAATGAATTAAGTCCAAACCCTAAAATATAAGCCACTGCACAGAAATGAATTGAGGGCAGCACTTCCAGAAATTAGGTACTGTCCTCAATTCATTTCTGTGCATTGTGTGCATTTCAAATTTATTCATGATTTTTAAGAAACTAATTTGCTATGTACGCTAGAAATATAAGAAACTTTGTTAATTTTTTTTGTAACGTTTATTCATTTTCACAACTTTTTGCTTTTAAAAATGTTTTTGCTATATTAAATGCACAATTTGAAGAATCTGAAACGAAAGTGCAGACTATTACAATGAGGGTAGTGAAAACAACCAAATATATTTTATTTATTATTTAACATGATTTTATTTTTTTATTTTTAATTTCCAATTTTTTTTTTAATTTCATTTAGATTTTTTGTATTATTATTTTATTTATTTTGTAAAGTATTCGTTTTGTGTAGTATTCTATATATTTTGTACAGTATTCCTATTTTGTATATTCGATTTGTATATTTGTTTTGTATAGTATTCTATATATTTTGTATAGTATTCGTTTCCTTTCTTCGAGTATTGCTGTTTTATTCTCTGTAGTTTCTTAAAGCTTTATTTCGCTGCAAATTCTTAAAACGCCTATGATATAAAAACGAAGATGTTTTCTAAATAAATTACTTTGAACATGGCTGAACAAGTCTGCATATGCTTGTGCTTACCGGGAAGGCTTGGTATCACAAGCAACTGTTTCATCAATATTATCTTTCATAGCTTCTGAACCATTGCCATTAGCTTTCTATGTGGCTAAATATTCTCAACTTATGCCGATCGTTTCAACAAATTCTTCCGGCACAACAGTACTAACTTTCTCTTTATTTATGGCTCAAACAAATGTAACACGTTCTAAAATTCTCTTAGCACAATATGTTACATATTTCTCTTACAGATCATGTTTGAAAATAGGATAATTTTTTCTGTCTGTGTTTTCTGACAGTTTTATAGCTAAAAAAATGAGTATTGGGAAAACTAAAGTAGCCTATAACATCACACATGGTTTTACCCCACATCTCCATGATCTAGTTTTAAAGGTGGTGTTGGCTCTATGTACATAGTTGTATGTTTTGATGAGTCTTTAAACAAAGTTGTTCAAAAAGGTCGAATGAATATTAGCATTCGTTATTGGGATGTTATTTGCAACCATGTGACTACTAGATACTTTTCATCTGTGTTTCTTGGTCATGCATCTTCATATGATTTTAAAAAAAGGTTTTAAAAATGTTTTAAATGAAAATCTTCGAGCCAAAATTTTACAAATTTGGATGAATGGACCAAATTTGAACTAGAAGTTTTTTGATATTCTCAATGATGAATTTGGTAAAAAGTTTAAAACATCAATTCTTGAAATGGGATCATGTAGTCTACATGTTGTACACGGTGCATTTTAAGCAGGTCATCTAAAGGTGAAATGGAGTGTTAATGCAACACTCAGAAGTTTTCATAAACTTTTTCATGATAGTCCTGCTTATAAGGCACATTATCAAACAGTTTGTGGAAGTTATAAGTTTCCTCTGAAATTTGGTTCAATAAGATAGGTTGAAAATGTATCTGTATATCAAAGAGCTTTAGATATTTATGATAATGTGAAGTTGTATGTCACACAGTCAAAACTATCTAATAATTATACTGTAAACATTGTTATTAATGCTGTCAATGATCTTCTGATGCCTGCTAAAATTGCTTTTTTTCAATATTTGGTTTCAATTGCAGAGCCATTTCTAAGTTTTTTCAGTCAGATTCTCCATTAGCACCATTCTTATGAAAAGCATTTAAAAAGCTAATAAGATCTCTCATGCATAACTTTATTAAAAAAGATGTATTGGAGAGAGTAAAATCTGTTATAAAGCTAATGAAAACTTCACCATGCACAAGTGTCACCAAAAGTAGTAAAAATTGCTATCACAACTTCTCTACTTTGCAGTGGTTGTATTCAGTTTTACATTGGAGTTGTTGATAAACTGAGTTTAAAATATAAAAGAACAAAGTCCTTATACTCAGCTTTAAACCTCATCATTGTATCTTTTAATTTAGACTTCAATAATCAGTATGAAGATTTATGTGATCTTGCAAAATGAATCCGTAGATTAGGATTCACAAATTACAATGTTTATAAGGATAGGTTGGATGTTTTTTTTAAACCCCTTTTATATGCCAGAATTTCAATGACTTATTTGAAGTATCCAAAATTGTCTTTACTTTGTCACATGGTAATGCACAGGTTGAAAGTGGGTTTTCTATCAATTCAGATGTTCTTGTAGAAAATTTGATCAAGTGCTTTATGGTTGCCCAAAGAGAAGTATATGATGGAATTCACCACATTGGTGGAGTTTGCAATTTGGAAATAATGAAATCAATGATTAAAAGTGTTAACTGTCCCATTCACACAGATTCATTAAAATAGTATAATATAAATATTGTTTTAATAAATATTTAAAGAAGATAATAAGAAATTAAATGTTAAATAAACAAAACTTAAATCAACATAATTAGGAAGATATACGAGACATTGAACTAAAATTAAAAATGCTATCATGCAAAATGAAATTACTTTTTGTTTAACAAGATTTTAAACTATTTTCTATAATTAAAAGATAATTTTTTATTTTGAAGTATTTAAGTTTTTTGAAAAGCAAAAAAATTTTTATCAAACAGTTTAAAATATTTTTTTAACTCATAATAGTTGAGATGAGAATGAACTGAAATGAAAATAACAGAATTATTTGCAAAACTAGCTTATTACTTATTAAATTAGCTTATTACTTATTTAGTATTTTTTGCTCTTTCAACATTTTTAATCTTTTCTACATCTTTTTATTATCTTTTCTACATCTTTTTCTTATTTTTGCTTTTTAAACAGATTTTAAAAGAAAATTTATTCATTTGCTTTTTTTGAACATTAGGCAAATGGAATCAAATGTTTAAATTGAATATTGACATATGCATATTTAATTTATATTATTGTTAAACTATTGTTTATATTTATTTTATACTATTATTAAAATACTAGTAAAAAGTTATCTTCACTTCATAGTAATAATATAGAAAAATATGAAGTATAAATTACAATCATGTAACTTATATATAACAATATAGAAAAAATATATAAACAATTTATGATATATATCTTTTCAATTATTTTTTTCTTCATAATATCTTGGGAAGTATTTTCAAAAAATGTAAAAATTCACATTTAAAAATATAACTGAGTCAGGTAAAAATATAATAAGTCAGGGAATGGTGGTAACAAATTTATAAAAAATACTGAACTTTAAAACAAGTACATATACTTGGAAGTACATATACTACGAAAGGCATTCAGTTGTAAAAATTTGCTCAAGTTCTAAGTTATGTTAAGTTTCAACATAAAGATACCGCATCACCTTTAAAGTGGGTGGACTGAAAATGCATCTGATGGTATGTTGTTGGTATTAGATGGTCAGAAATAAGTCATTGGTCAGTGGCAAGTATGCTACAGCAATCAAGGTTCTAACTCTAGTTACCATGTAACCTGGATGTTACATGGTAACTAATTGTTTGTAGGATAAAAGGTGTGAGAGTGAAGGTTGGTTTTTTTTTGTGGGTCCTATGCTAGAAAAAAGTAGAGAGGATGCCAAGATAGACGGTAAGAGGATAGATATATGCTACCTGCAAGAGATTCACTGGAAAGTGTATTTGGTAATGCTTATATACACTCAGCAAAATTTCCATAACTCCACTTACAATTTTTACATATAAAAAAAATCAAGTATTAGCATTTTTTTTTGTTTATTACAGTAATTATTAGGAATAAATAAATAAGCAAATAATATTTTAATAGAAAATAATTGATAATTTATTTCGTAAAACCTAAAAGTTAGAAATATTTCAAAAAAACAGGCAAAATTTCTATAGTTCTATCAAAGGTAATCCTTTATAATTTTTGTTCTAGATAATTTTTTAATTAGTTTAATTTTTAATAATGTGTGCTACCACCTTTTACAATAATTAATTCGAAGATTCGGTTTTTCAAACAAACCTTTGAAATACCATTCCATGCTTGTTGGGTAGATGTTTTAAGTTCTTGTATTGTATTATACTGTCAAGAATTTCCATATATAGTTTGCACCAATAGTCAGGTGAACATGATGGCCAATCCAAAACATTTTTTTTTCCCCTTGGAACAACTTTTACTGCATTATCTTGTTGGAAAATCCAGTTCTCAGTAGGTAAACCTTCACTAAACTCTATTAAAACATCTTCTGAAAGATCTACGTAATTTCTTGCATTCATTTTTGTTGTAATAAACCATTGGAATTTTTCCATGGAAACAAAATGCGGCCCACACCATAACTGTCCCTCCTCTCAAATTACGACTCATAGCTAAGCTATTTTTTTTTCAAATCATGTCAATAATACTTAAAACCATCAGCTCCATCTAAGTTAAATTTTTTTTTGTTGGAAAAAATAACATTTTTCTTTGGGTTGGACAAAAAGATATCTTTGTAAGTAACAATTTTAACACCTTTCTGTGTGTCATTGTAATAATTAAATAACAAATCCTAATTAAAAGTACACAAAACTTTCATATAAAACAAACAAATTAAAAAATCTTACTCAAACTTAAACTCTTATTAAGTGTTCAAAACAAACTAATGGAATTATGGAAACTATAGAAATTTTGCCTGTATATATAATAATTTTAAAATCATTCTAGAAAATTTAGTTTCAATTATTTTAGAAACACATAAAATTGTCATGAACGCATTTGTTTGCAATAGGTCTGATAAAGTGAATTTTTGTGGTTAATTTTATAAATGCTTTCTGCGTGTAATCTGCAATAACTACATGGAACAATAGAAATTTCGCTGAATGTACAAGTATAGGTAAATCAAGAGAAAAAAATGATACTAAAAAAAATGATTTTAGAAAAATTTAAAAGGCATTATTTATTATATACACTGCTTCTTAATAGTGTGCAATTTGGTTTTTTATAATAATATGCAATATTTATTTTAAAGCAATTTGAAGAAAGATTTTTGAAATGAAAAATAAATAAGTGGGAGGCATTTATTGACCTTTTATTGACCTTTTATCAGCTTTTGACAAAAAAATATGTGGGAGGCATTTGTTGACTTTTAAAATCTTGTGACAGGTTACCAAGAGAGATAGTTAGCTGTTGAAGTGGTATGCAGTCGTGGTTTAGAGCGCCTATTTTGTTAACAAGTAGTTTAGAGTTCGATCCCCACTATTTCCCTGGTAGTATCACTCTCAACTTGTTTCTATGCACATAGTCCTTAAAAAAAAAGATAAAGTGATAGCTTCAAGTTTAAGTTTAATGTACACCAGGATTTTGCTTTTTATTGTTGTTGGTTTATTATTTGTTGTTGGTTTATTATTGTTGTTGGTTTGTTATTGGTCTCTTAAATGTACACTAGGATTTTGCTTTTTATTGTTGTTGGTTTATTATTGGTCTCTTAAATGTACACCAGGATTTTTTTTTTTATTGTTGTTGGTTTACTATTGGTCTTTTAAAAAATTTGAGCTTTAATTAACCATAAAATTTTATGCAAATTGCTGAGACAGAAGAAGAAATTATGTTGTGAGTTCAGTGTCAGAAAGATGAAATGGAAGTAAAAGACATAAATATAAACAAGTCAAAGTCAGAAGAGTCAAAAGTTTAAAATATTTATTTAAAAGTTTCAAAAATTTACTTTTTCTTTATTATCATTCACTATTGACCTCTCATGGAAACCATATATACAATTGATTGCAAACTTAACATCTGCTAAGGTCTCTTCTCTTTATCATGTTTGCTGTTATTTTACTCTTGATTTCATTTTCACTTTTGTATATATTTTTTGTTTAATTTACCTCCCCAAGGCTAAGAAGGCCAATCAAGGAGGCTACTTTAGTTGTGGTTACAACCCTTTCTTAACTCTATAAATCCAAAACTTGAACCTTTATAAACAAGGTCGCTGCGCAGGGAAACAAGTTGAGCGCAATACTACCAGGGACGTGGTGGGGATCAAATTCAGAAATTCGAAGCCTGATGATTGTGAATCACATTTTCTACCTCTAATCCCATGTGTTTTCTTTACTATGATTGTACTATTTTGATGTAAGATGATAAATATGATTAATGTAGATAGTTTCTGGGATTTTAGCTTTTTTGGCTTGAAGGCATTAGACCTGCATTGGTTCATTGAAATCAATGTTCTAGATTTTACATCTAGCTCTAATTTGCTACCCCATAAATGCAAGAAGTAAACTTGTTAGGGTTTTGAATAAATATTTTTAATTTTAGTGACTATGAGAGCATCTCATGCCATGGCTACTATTAATTCTGATTTATTCATTTATGGTGGATATTCTTTTGACAACGGAAAGTTGGATAAATTAATCAGGTAAACTTTTTTTTTTCTTAAGTCTGAAAGTATTTTGTCAATAGTTTGATGCTCGATATATTTTTTTAATTTGAAAGGTACAATCTTGAAACATTCAACTTTGTTGAGTATGAAACAAGTTTACAAAACAGATACGATCATTCAATGGTGTCTTATGGGGTATGTTGTTATGGTGATTTTGTTGATATTTTTCAAAGATTAAGTTTAAGATTTATTTAATCAGAATTTAAATTTTATAGCATTATTTAATCAGAATTTTATAGTCTTATAGTATTGATTATTGCGTCGATGACACAAATTTTTATATTAATAATTACATTATTAGTTTATTAACGGTTTTTGGTAGTTATTGACAGTTTCCATAATCATGTAAAATTGATGCTTAGGTCGATGAAGTTTGAATATTTCTTATTCATGATAATGGCATGTTTTTTATATTTTCAAAAGTTAACAATCTAGAAATTCTAAATATGAGAAGTGAAACAAAGTTTACAATTTTTTTAAATAAAGTATTAGATGATGGTAGTTTTGTTGGGTTTTATGAAAAATAACTTGAAATATTTGATATAGATTAGTAAATATAGATGGAGTTGATCTTATAAAAAATAATCTGAAACTATAATAACCATGAAATAACCATGCTTCATTTAGATAATGATGTCAATATTGAGTAAAAAATAATCACAGGTTTGTGCTATGTAAACAAGTTTTGTTGCTATATAAACAATTTAACATCTTATGTTTAGGACAAATTAATTATCTTTGGTGGAGTCTTGTTTTCCAAAGATACAAATAAAACTCAAGTTACTAATGAGATACGCAAATATGAAACTATTACAAACTCATGGAGTGTGGTAAATCCTATTGTTTTAAATGGTGATTTTCCTATTGCAGTTTATGGTCATGCTTCTGTAGTTGTCAATGGTGTCATGTACACATTTTTCGGTTACAATGACAAAGAATTTATTCATCATGTTCAAACATTGGACTTAAGTTAGTTCTTTATTAATATTTTAAAGCATTTTTGTGATTTTTATCAAGTTGTTACAATGCATTTCAACTATTGTTTTTGATTTAGCTACTAATGTTTGGACATTAGTTAAAACTACTGGTGATGTAGTTTCTGGTTCTTACAAACATTCTGCTTCATATGATATTCAAACTGACACTGTTTTTATATATGGTGGTTTTAGAAATAACAAAAAAATAACTTCTCAACTTCTTTTATTCCAAGTTTCATCTAAAAATTGGTGAGTATGCAACACACAGTAAATTGAACTTATTTTTCCAGATTTGTTCTTATAATAATTACATATTTGAAATATTCATTTATATTTGATTATTTTTTTATATCTGATTTATTTTAATATTTGATCATTTTTCATTTTATAGCATGTTTTTTTTAAAAACACAATATTTCTTCTTACCAACATTCTTATGTACCTAAACCTTCTAAAATATTTTATCAGTCTTTAAATTTTTTAGTTTTTTAAGGTAAACATTGATAAAAAAAATAAATTAACAATTTCGTATTAAATTTAGGACCATTGGATTAAGCTCCAAATTGCCTCTTATGTTGCATGCATCAGGCATTATTGGTCGCAATTTGTTAATATATGGAGGGATTGCTAACAACTCTTCAAATAAAAATACTATCAGTAAATGTCATTCAAAAGATACTTTAGTTTACAACATTGGTAAAATAGTTTTTATTATAATGTCTATGGCAACGAATGTTAATAAATTTTATGACAGTTTTATACTTTCTCATGCGTAAAGTTTCACTGGGTAAAATTTTGGAATAAAGTGCATAAAGTCTCTTTTCCTACCTCAGCCATTAGTCTATGTAGCAATACTCCTTTGCATGTTCTTCCTAAATCAGTTGATTTCATGTACTGAATTCCCAAAACTCCTAACTCTTTTTCCGCACTTTATTCCTGAATTTTACCACATTTTTTACTTATAAAAGGTTTTCAGATTACTTGTAACTATACTAAATCACAAAATTGGACAAATTTTCAGATTTTTTGATACAAATTTTGTACGTTATTTATTACGATATATACCTTACACATTTATGATATACACCTCAAGCATATGATATAGACCTTAAACATTTACAATATACACCTTAAACATTTAGAATATACAATTTAAAGGTTAATTATTATTTAGATTTTTGTTTCTACTTTGCTAAAAAAAAACACAAACATAGTACAAAACCCCTTGATTCATTATCCTTATTATACCCTTGTATTTTTTGTTAAGTCTTGTAAATTTATATTGTTTTAAAATACGCTTTTGATTAAAATCATATATTTGAGCTGCAAACAAATATTTTGATCTTGAACGAGATCAAAAAATTAAAAAGTTCTTTTTTAATTTAATAGTTTTAGTTAAACTATTTTGTCAACAACTCTAGTGTCAATAACTTTAGTGTCAATAACTTTAGTGTCAATAACTTTAGTGTCAATAACTTTAGTGTCAATAACTTTAGTGTCAATAACTTTAGTGTCAATAACTCTAGTGTCAAATGATCTTGCAAAAAAGCAACCTTTTAACAATTACCCCAATCCTAACTTTTTACCAAACTGTCTTATATCTTTTTGAAATTAGTAAAGGTATCACAGCTTGTTATGTATCAATTCTATTTCTTATTCTAAGTTTTCTTAGGATCTAGCTATAAATTCAGTATTGCTCTTTTTAAATGTTTTCAGAAGAGTTGACCAACCATAAACCAACCCAACTTTGCACTTTTAATTGGTTCTTTGCTGGCAACACTAAATTTGAATCAACTTAGAAGTTGGTTTCTCAGTCGATACTTTCAGCTGATACTTTGAAAAATACATTTGAAAAAATTTTTTTTTCAGGTTTGGCACTGTATTCTCCTTAAATAAATTTAAAGTTTGTAAATTTAAAAATTTGTAAATTTAAAAAAAAAAGATAATTTTTGTGGTTATAAATATTGGTTAATAATTAATTATATTATGATATTATTTAATTATCTTCTTTTACATTTTATGCAAATATAAATGAAAAATATAAATGATATGTTTTAATGTTAGCTTTATTTTTGATTTTTTTGTTATTGTTTTTGGTTTACTTTACTAGCTAAATTATTTTACCCCAAGACTGAAGAGGCCACTACAGACGAGGAGGCTACTTAATTGTGGATATAACTCTCTCTCTCTCTCAACTCTATATCTCCGAAATACTAACCTTGACGATCAAGGCTGCTGCTAGTGCTTCCAATACCGGTAGTACCGGTACTGGTATTACCGGAATACCGGTATTACCGGACATTTTTAAGTACCGAAATACCGGTATTGGTTTGGCTCAATACCAGTATTCTTTTTTTTTTTTTTTTTTAAGGTGCCCCAAGAAGTCCTTACGGTCTTATCACAGAGCACCGCAGAAGAGCATTTAATGGGAAGTTCACGACTCCTTCCCAACCGATGTCGCAAGACTTGCCCATTAAAAATATGTCCGATGAAAAAAAATAAACCGATGTCGCAAGACTTGCCCATTAAAAAGTATTAAAAATATATGTAGAGGGCTTATGATATAGCAGGTGCCATTGCCCTCTTTACGTGAAACACTAAAGTAAATGAAATACTTAAAACTTTCAACAGTGCTTCCGGTAGGAAAAAGATAGCTAGATGAGAAAAGACGTGTTTAAATTGTCTAAAACAAGTATTCTACGTACTTTATACTTGATATCTAGTTGCCAGCTCATTTCCCACTAGGTTTGGTAGGAAATGCTAGCAACTAGCCAGCAAACAGCTAGCTAGTCGCTACCTGTGGGTAAAAGGCGCGTATAAAATAAATAGAATACTTGTTTTAGACAATTTAAACACGTCTTTTGTCATCTAGCTATCTTTTTCTTACCGGAAGCGTTGTTTGATCGTGACTGGAAGTTTTAAGTATTTCATTTACTTTTGTGTTTTCATTAAATAATGAAAAATATTATCATTACGTCACTCGCTTTAATGTAGAACGCCTGTTTGAATTTTGCACTAACGTAAATATGAAAAGTTTCGGTAATGTAGAAAGTGGGACGTTTAAGTAACTGTTATCAACAGTTGTGCATTAGGCATGGGATTCAACTAGGTATTCAAGATATTTTGTACAAAAAATCGTCAATTTCTGCAAAAAAAACTTGAAAGTAATATGCAATAACAGAGAAAGTGACGAGGAAATACTGATGACACAAACAAAACCAATAATGATGAAGACTTTTCCGGCGGGTTTCAAGTTGTAATGAGTGAAGAGAAGGACTCTATTGAACTGACTGATGATCTGCAGCCGTTAATCAAAAAGGTGCGCACCGTTGTGAAATTTTTATTTTTCCGTTCTCCGACAAAAAATGATCAAAGTTCAAAAACGCACGTTAGAAAAATTTGATAAAGATATTCCACTAATACTTGGATCCAAAACTAGCTGGATTAGCTTGCACACAGTACTCAAACGTTTTGTATAATTGAAAAAATGCATTTACGAGTCACTTTTTGCCCTTGAGTCCAAAGTTGAGGTAACTAATAATGATTTCGATGCAATATTAGCTGTTAACTTATGTCTTGCGCCAGTAAAACTGGCTGTGGAAACATTGTGCCAAAATCATGCAATTCTGTTGTGTGCCGATACAACATTTTCATGATAGATAGCCTTGGAGAAACCGATTTAGCTGTAAAGTTATGTTGGTGCAACAATTCAATGAGCAACGTACTCTTTTTCCAGCATACAACATTTTTTGCACAAGGGACATCAACGTTACAAGAATTTGGATCTAGCTCTATCTTTTGAGCACCATAGCAAATTAGCCATTGTAAATACCATTACTCGACTGAAAGATCGGCTCAGTCAGAAAGGGTATAGTGCTCTCCCTTTCACCAGCGTTTTTTCCGATAGTGATTCTGTGGACAACGCTGTAAACTTGTTATTGAAAAAAAAGCTTGACTTTGCAATTTTGAAAAATAAGAAATGTAACAACAAGGGAAAATTGAATGTTTCAAATAATTCATCAAAAATTATATGTATTAAAATAGAAATTTTTTAAGAAGGAGGAAATCGTTGAATATATTTGCAAAATTCCTACCATTACTTGAAAACTGTGAAGCCAACAAAATTAGAGTATCTTTTGAAGATGATGTTCTGAACGCCCTATGTTTTTTACGGGTTCATTTTACTAAGCAGAAAAAAGCGAAAAATGAAAAAGTCAGTAGTTTTGATATAAAACAAATAAGCCGATTGAATCAATAAAATTTTTACTATTAACTTGAGATTTTATTTAGATTATGATAAATTTAAAAATAAAGTTTAATACCGGTATTATACCAGTATTACCGGTATTGTAATTATTTAGTACCGATATACCAGTATTGAAAAATGGTATTGGTATTGGAAGCACTAGCTGCTGCACAGAGAAACAAGTTGAGCGGGATACTACCAGGGATGTGGTGGAGATTGAACTTGCTGACTACTTGATGATTGCTGACACTGTTACTGAATGATACTGACACTGATACTAATACTGAATGATCTTGTTTACTGACAACGCTTTTTTACACATTAAAATTTTTGATCAACTTTTTCATTCTTCGTCATGTGTACTAATTGCGTTTTTTCTTGTCTAGCGTGACACTTTAAATCTGAGACTGATCTAATTTTATATTATATATACATATATTTTTTTGCTATAATCTTATGAACCTTTGGTAATTTTAAACCAATTGGGAATATCCTGTTATACACGGTGCCATCAGCCTGGCTAACACCCTGAGGATGAGTATTAAAAAACAAAGAAAAACAAACAGCTGTTCAGAATAAACAGATTTATTGTAAGAAGAAAAAGCTTTATTCATTAAAGTATACCTAAAACAAGCAGAACACATAAGTAACATACATAAAAAATGAAAAAATAAAACATAAATCTTCATTAAATACAAAAGTTTAACTTACTTCAAAACAAATATATATATATATATATATATATATATATATATATATATATATATATATATATATATATATATATATATATATATATATATATATATATATATATATATATATATATATATATATACATATATATATATATATATATATATATATATATATATATATATATATATATATATATATATATATATATATATATATATATATATATATATATATATATATATATATATATATGCAATACATTTATAATAATTAACTTTGAACTTAGATTGCAAATCATGGTCCGTTATTAGTGGAAATCTTTTGCTTTCAAATGGAAGATATGGCCATGCAATAGTTACCTTTAACAAGTATGTTTTCTTACAATAATATTAATATATAAAAATATTTATGTTTTGTGCAATCTTATTCAAGTCAAGATTTTGTATTTTTTTCAATATATATATATATATATATATATATATATATATATATATATATATATATATATATATATATATATATATATATATATATGTATATGTATATATATGTATATATATATATATGTATATATATATATATGTATATATATATATATGTATATATATATATATATATATATGTATATATATATATATATATATATATATATATATATATATATATATATATATGTATATATATATATATATATGTATATATATATATATATATGTATATATATATATATATATGTATATATATATACAGGGCTCATTCTAGGAAAAAAATTTGGGTGGCGGTTAGGGAAGGCAATAAGGAATTTGGGATCCCGAAATCATGGGATTTCGTACAAATTGTTCATCCCGAAATCCTGGGATTAGTCTCCGAAATTCCCGGTATTTCGGGATTGTCAAAAAAAAAGGAAAAGTTAATAAAGTTTAAGCTTTTTTAATTGTAGTTTAGTAATTTTTATATCGTCTTTGGTATAGTAGCTGTTTGGTTGTGTAATTATTTATTCTCTTTGCAATGTTTTTTTTTTAAAACTCTTTTTTTCTGTATTTTGACTAAAATATACATATATATATATATATATATATATATATATATATATATATATATATATATATATATATATATATATATATATATATATATATATATATATATATGTTTATATATATATATGTTTATATATATATATATATATATATATATATATATATATATATATATATATATATATATATATATGTTTATATATATATATATATATGTTTATATATATATATATATATATATATATATATATATATATATATATATATATATATATATATATATATATATATATATATATATATATATATATATATATATATATATATATATATATATATAGATGTATAAATTAATGTATAACTTTTATTAAAAACTCTTGCTCTTTCCACAAGCAAGCGCTTATATTTTTGTTATTATTTATAATATACTAGTTTTGATATTATACTAAATATAATTTATATTATAATATTAAAACTAGTATATTATAAAAACAAATAGAATTTAAGCGCTTGCTGGTAATAAGGGCAAGAGTTTTTAATAAAAGGTATACATTCATTTAATTTTGAATTTTCTGCTTCCAAAAGTATGCAGGATTTTAATTCCATTTTTTTGTCCATTCATTTTGATTTAAAATGTTTTTTTTAATGTCATGCATATTTATATTATTTTTTAATTTTTATTATTATTTATATTGTGTTGCCATTTTAAGGTATTGTTTTATAATTCATAATACTTAGGTTTATTAATTTTTAAGTCTTAGATAAGTTTTAATATAAAGTTAAGTTAAAGTATGATTCGACTTAATTTTAGAGCTTCATTAATGTATAAAATATTTTAGTTATATTATCATTAAATTAATCATTTTTAAGTGTTTGATGAGTGCCTAAAAAGTATTCAATTGCGTTTGCGTTTTTTCTATTCAATCCCGGGATTTCCCGGGGACAAATTTCTCAATCCCAAAATCCCGGGATTGAAAATATCCAGGATTTATGCCATCCCTAGTGGCAGTACCCCCTCGTGTTGGTGAACTTCAGCAAAAAATTGGCGAACAAACTAATATTTGCCGTAAAAACGTGAAAAAACTTAAAAAAAAAAAGTTCCTCAAATTTTAATTTGGACAGCGCCCAAATACGGTCGACACTGTTGAAAATGGTCTAGAATAGCCACTGATATATATATATATATATATATATATATATATATATATATATATATATATATATATATATATATATATATATATATATATATACATATATATATATACTACATTATAAGCAACATCTTGTTTCAATTGCTGTTTCTAATGAATTAGGCAAATGCTTAAGGGGAAAAGAGATTCCTTCTTCTGACTAGCTTTGCTCCCCTTCTTCATTTATTAGGCTGGCATAAATTTATTTATAGTACATTGTTTCCAGTTTAGGATGTTGAATGCTGGATCTTCTTGACTCATTGTATGGGTTTGCTTGTGTCTCTGTTTTTATGACTAGGCAACTCATTCTATTATCTCCTAAGGCTCCTGAGACTTTTGGAAAATCTTTAACAGTGTCTGTAATAAAGGCAAATTTGTTATTCCTCCTCTCTTACATGGTTCAGATTTTGTCACCTCACCTAAAGACAAAGCTAAATTGTTTGCTGAGAACTTTTCATCCATCTCATCTTGTGATTCCACTAATCACATCCTACATGATATAGCCAACAAACAGGTTGATCTATCGCTTGGCATTTGTATCACTCCAACTTATCTAAAGTGATTTACAGCATGTGGTCTGGACAGCATACCTGTTATAGTATTGCAAAAGTGTTCTCCAATACTTTCAAAACTATTAAACAAATGCTTATCAGAGTCTTGGTTTACAGTCGGCTGGAGAACTCTATTTGTTATCCCTATTTTCAAAAATTCTCGAGAACGATCTGACTCCTCTAACTATTTTTTGTATCTTCTTACTATCATAAGTAAGGTTTTTGAGTCTTTAATTAACTTCAATATTTAGTTACTACCATAAACAAGTCTTTAATTACGGTTCTATTCTTGGTTTTATACTTTTTTTAATTTACATTAATTATCTCCCAGAAATTCTCACATCTAAAGTGTAAGTGATAAGAAGCTAATACTATCTAATTGCTTGGGGAGGGCATTTGAACTTGAAAAATATTATTATATTATATCATGTTATTATATAAAAAATAGCATCTGCTAAGGTTGCATCTTTTTATTGTGCTTGCCACTTTCTCCAGATTCTATTCTTTATCACTATAAATCTCAAATCCGTCCTTGTATGGCGCACTATTGCCATATCTGGAGTGTATCAATTGATCAATTGATGTCCTTTTTCTTTTAGGCAAAGTGCAAAAGCGCATTGTAAACTTAGTTAGACCTGCTCTTGCTGCCACCTTTAACCATTGTCATATTGTTGTAATGTTGCTTCTCTTTCTCTTTTCTATAAATACTATAATGGGCGTTGCTCTAAAGAGCTAGTGTGTCTTGTGCCATTTACTAAAATTCATTCACGTGTTACTTCTCATTTAGTTAAGTCTCATCCTTTTACTGTGACTGTTCCTAAGTGCTTTTTTTCCTTGCACATCAATTCTTTGGAATTCGCTCCCTTTATCTTGTTTTCCTGAATCATATAATTTGCAATCTTTTAAGTTGTCTTTTAATCGTTATTTTGCTTAAAAAACTTTATTTTTACTCGTTCACTTCAAACTCTAAGTAGTTGCCTGCAGCCTTGTTGAAAGAAAAGATGTTTTTTTTTAAAAAAAAATTTAATTTAAATATGATTTCTTAAATGTTGTAGAGGAGAGAGGAGCACTTTTTTTTTTTTTTTTAAATGTTTGTTGCAATATCTTACTTACGCCAAACTAAAATTTTAAACTTAACAAAATATATAACACTTTAAGCTTGTAAAAATTTATAAAGTAAAATTTAAAATTTGTATATATTAAGGCAACCCACCCATCGGGTACCTCGATATAGTCTATGGGGCACCACGGAACAGGTGTAAAAAGTATAATATGTAGAGAAACAGCATATTTTTATTTAAAAAATACAAACTTGCAAATAAAGATGATTATTTCTAAAGATTTGTTATTTGAAAATTGTTATAATTATGAATTGGAATTGTTTGGATTGTTTCTATCAATAATTGCACTACATTAACATTCTGAAAATATGTTCTTGTCAAAAGAAAAGTGCTATTTCTAAAATCCACTTTGAATGTTTGTGATGCTTAAAATTTTTTCATATGCAATATTAACACAAGATGCAATTTTTTAAATAGTGATTGGCACTCCACAATTAAAAGCCAAGACTTCATTGTGTCTTTGATAATCATTATAAATATAATCTATGTGATATCTAACATTTTGTTACTACTTGTTGAGTTGCTTGATGCCATTTATTGGTAACAATTTTATTACATTTTTGTACATTGGTGGTAGCTGTTTCTTCAAGATTCCAAATGCAAAATCCATCTCTAAATTTTAGTTCTCCTAAATACTATTCCTTTGCGTTTGTAAAAACGTTTTTACTTTGTAAATATTGACAGAGTATATTTTACTGGCATTCCAACCCAGTGGATACAAGTTCCTATTTACACATTTTATGTATGAAATGGCCATTTTACTTATGCATTTAGCCAAAAGGTTTATATTTTGTTTATAAATTTTTAAAAGTTTTATAATTATTTTTATCTCTTTATGAAAGTGCTAATGATTGCCGGATAAACCATGATTGAGGTCTGTAAGCAATAATATTTTAAAAGATTAAGTTGATAAACATTCTTTAAATTTATAACAAATTTATTTATAAACTTTTTTATTATGAAGTTTGTTCAATTCATTTTAATGGATTCAATCAAGTTTAATTAACTCAATTTTGTGTGAATTATTTTATTAATTCTGTTAAACTATTTGTTATGGTTGTGTCAAAGCAATAAATCTTGAATTTACAACATATTGTCCAATGGACAATATGTTATAAATTCAAGATCTGGAGGTGGCAATAAATTGCTTCAAAAGTTTTTCTTGCTTTCTGGTAAAAAAATCTTTTCATAGGAAAATTAGGCTTCATTGTAGTAATTTCTTCTGATTTTTTTTCACTTTTTTTCTTAACATTTGTGTATAAATAAAAAAAATTATTTAAAATTAGTTTGCAGTTAAAAACTACTAAGTAGTTAAAATCTACTAAGTAGAAAAAATACTTATTAGTGCAGAATACCTTAGCACCTGTCCATCATTATTAAAGGATACTATGATCTGTTTTTCCTGCGATATTTCTTAATGAATACCTGTTAAAACTTAATTAGTTGCTACCTCAATTGCATCACTTTTGAATGTGTTGCAATTGAGGTAGCTCCTTATTCTTATTATAAAATAGCTCCTTATTGTAAAAATATTTATGAAGCAACGCAGTTAACAAACAAATTTTAGGAAAAATGTGGCTAGATAAATGGCAATCATAAAAAAATTCATTAGTAAATTCAACTAGTGGTCAAATCATGATTTGATTGCTGAGTTTTAGTTTATGCAAACCATAAATATATATAAATCAGTATAATAACATAACTACTATGTTAAAAAAAAGTAAATTTAATATAAATATCTTGGAATACTAAAGTAAACTTATGTTTGTGTAAATATATATATTTTTTTTTTGGAAAGAGGGTTGAATTACTACCGTCTTCATCTAGATTTCCAGTTTACTAAAGCATAGTCTTTAAATAAACTCGCATAGTCTTTGAATAAACTCGACTGGGGTAACCTGCACTTCTGGCCAACCTGTTTTAGTCTACCCTACATTGAATAATACACCATAAAACCTAACAATTTCAAAATTTATTAAAATACTTTGCAACAAAAAAAATTTGAATATGCACCTCATACAAATTTGATGTTCTAATCTCTTTACTTGATATGTTTTTTTAGTTATGTGTTAATCAATACAGATACCCAGTAAGCAGACACTATTTGGCCCGATAGCGAACCAGGCTTGGCTGCTGAGCTGTACCAGGCCTGGCATGCCAGTGCTGTGCCAGCGTAAGTTGCCCATTGGTTTTGCAGCGGGCCGGTATATGCAAGCCAGTGCTGGCGCAGCATTGTTTTGCTAGTGGCAAGCCATATAAAAAATTGTATATTAACTATTTTACTTATATATATATATATATATATATATATATATAAAAGACTTTGAGAACATTATTCTTTGTGCGTTCAAATCGTGGTTATGATAATCCAGATAATACGAAGAATTGCCGAAAAAAGATGCCACAGACAGCAAAATTCAAACCCTAGTATGGCAGTATGGCCATGACTTTCTGTTGAACTGGCTTTCTGAATAGACTTTTTTACTGCTCTTTCTTTTCTGCCTCTATTTCTGTCAAGAGCTCCAGACAAAAAGCCACAATTGCCTTTTGAATTTTGCTGTCTGTGGCATCTTTTGTTGGCAAAGTTCTTCGTATTGATTCTATAAACATAAACACAATCATATATCAAATGTTTTTACAAACATAATTATAAAAAATATAGCCAATGTTTATGTCTATATATGTATCTCTCTCTCTTTGTTTATATATATATATAATCTAAAAATAGTACTTAGCATGGGAGCAGATGCCGTCCGATGGTTGATTTTTTTCTGAAGATAAAATTTTTTAGAGCTACTTTGAATAAATCAATACTACAACTTTTACTTCAACTGTTTATAATGTATATGTAAATAACTGTTCAACATCAAAAGTTTAGTTATAAAGCTTAAATTAAGAAATCAATAAGAAATAGTTTCAATGAATATAATGCTCAAAAAGAGCTTGCATCATAGAAATTTAAATTTAAAGGTGTAAATTGCAGATTAGTGAATTTTTTTAGTTTAATTTACTAGACTGTTGATCGAGTTATTTGAGGTTTTTAATTTAAAAACTATTTTAATAAAGTGAAAATAAAAGTTTTAAATGTTTACAACTAGAGCTGCGCATAAATCATTAAAAAATGAATACCATGTATTCGCAATATTAGAGCAGTGCTAAGTCTGCAAAAGTAAGTATGTATATGTGTGTATATATATAATATGTTATATGTTTTTTAGGTACCTCTACGTTGTTGGTGGTTTTAATGGAGTTTTTTTAGACGATCTTTTCAAGATTACAGCTAAAGGTTTTATATCACTTTTTCATATATCTTAACATTTTTACAGTGAACTTGGTGGTCAATAAGTGGCATTTTGTGTGTGTGTGTGTGTTTTTTACAGCTATTTTTTTTATATAATTTTTTGTAGCTGTTAATTTTTATAACTAAATCATTATTAGTTGGTTTCTGTCCCCCCCCCCCTCACACAAACAGGTTAGAGATAATTAATTAACCTAGTTGACATTGATTAGAAATCTCGTTTACATTGATTAGAACAGATTGTATTAGTAAAAAAATTGCTCCTGACCTAAAGATATTGGATCTATAAAAATCTCTAGACTCTTTCTCTTTCCCTCTCTATCTCTAGACTCTTTCTGTGTTTGTGAAGAGTTTTCTCTGTGCTTGAGTACTGAGCGTTTGATCACCTTTTTTTTATAAAAATTTAACAACTGCTTTGTTTTCTTTGCTTTACCTTGTTCAGTTCTATATTATTTAAATCTATGTTATTAGAGACTATTATTAACACATGTATTGATTTTTTTATATATATATATATATATATATAGTAAGGAAAATTTCTGCTTTTTTTTTTAAATTTTTATTATTTTTGAAAAAATAAATCTTTCTTTTTATAACAAATTTCTTTTTATAACAAATAAAAATATGCCCATTAAAGTATTGTGGCTAAATAGCTGATATGTTTCTCAAGATGTACCAGAATATATTTCAGGGCTACATTAAACTTCTTAACTTCTAACTTCACATTAGCTTGTAATTTCAACAATTATTCCTTGATTTTTAGACTTTTAAACATTTTATGTTTTCATATTTGAAACATCTTTCTATTAAAATCAACAGTCAAATGAAAATAAAATTCATCATTAACTAATTCACACAACATTAAAACTTGAAAAATGCTTTGCTACCAATTGAAAGTTCAAAAATATCAAATCTTTTTTTTACAATCTTTTTATTTTGTTTGAGAAATTCAGAAAAAAAATAATGCACCAAATGAAGGCCATATTGTTTAAATAATTTTTTACTTGTTTTGAACTTAAGTCTAATTTATATAATTCTATTATATTTTATATAAATCTATTTTTTCATTAATTTATAGTTTTTTGTTGAATTTGTTAGGAGATTGCTCTCAATATACCAATCAAGAAATGTGCCTTTCAGCACCACTTATTGTTGGGTGTTTATGGACTAATGATGGTGTATGCATTGAACTAAATACTCTTCTTCCTGAAAGTTCAATCAAGCGACCAATATGTACAGGTAACATTGTTTATCTGTTCATGTATTATGTTCATTGTTTTTATCAGTTAATGTAGTATTCATTTATATAGCAACATTATTGTTATTTGTTTTTTATGTCTAGGCACAGTTTAACACAAATTTTTTAATTGTAACACAATTGGTGGTGTCTCTGTTTTGTCTCTGTTTTTTTGAATTGTCTCTGTTTTTATGACTAGGCAACTTATTCTATTATCTCCAAATGAGGGTACAGCTCAGAACCATAAAACTCAGTTTTATGGTTCTGAGGCCGGCTGGTAGTCAGGTTTCCTGAACTCTGTGGTAGCTCTCAGAGAGGCTGATTCCATCAACAGCTGAAAAATATCAGAGTACTAACAGTGCCATGTTGCGCATGAATGGTGTCTCTGTTTGTACTTTTGGTGTGCATTGCCAAGGCCACATTGGAGCCCTTTGTTACGGCTTAGGGTTTATTAGTGGAAAGGAGGCAATTGCTTGAGCTATAAAACAGTGTACTGAGTACTATCTATGTTTTGAGTCAAGTTCTTTAACAAATTTAAAAATGAATAAAGTAACAAAAACTATAAAACACAAAAAACCACAGTCATCACCAAGTTCGCTAAACCTATCATTCACCAATATTCGTGGTCTTCGAAGTAACTTTTCTTCTGTTGAGTTTTATCTCTTGCAAAGTTCACCAGACCTACTTGCTCTTTGTGAGGCTAATTTGAGTTCAGCTGTCTCATCTTGTGATCTTAGTGTTGATGGTTATCTTCCTTTAATTTGTAAAGACTCCAATAGTCACATGCTTGGCCTAGGCATTTACATTCGTAAGAATTCACCCATTTGTCGGGAAACTAGGTTTGAATCCACACACTACTCTTTTATGTGCTTTCGTTTAGCACCACTTCACTCTATCACCTTTCTCTTTGTTCTATATCACTCTCCCTCATCTCAAGACTGCACTCATCTTGATGTTATTTCTGATTATATTGACCAAGCCCTCATTCTTTATCCATCAGCCAATATTGTTGTTGTTGGTGACTTTAATGTTCATCACACTGAATGGCTTGGCTCTAGTGTCAGTGACTCTGCTGGCATTAAGGCCCACAACTTTTGTCTTTCTCAATCCCTAACTCAAATAGTCAACTTTCTAACTCGCTTTCCAGACAAACCGAATCATTTACCTTCTCTACTCGACTTATGTCTTGTTTCTAATCCTAGTCAGTGCTCAGTTTCTCCACACTCACCCTTAGGTGCTTCTGATCATGGTTTCTGATCAGTGACTCTGCTGACATTAAGGCCCACAACTTTTGTCTTTCTCAATCCCTAACTCAAATAGTCAACTTTCTAACTCGCTTTCCAGACAGACCGAATCATTTACCTTCTCTACTCGACTTATGTCTTGTTTCTAATCCTAGTCAGTGCTCAGTTTCTCCACACTCACCCTTAGGTGCTTCTGATCATGGTTTCTGATCAGTGACTCTGCTGGCATTAAGGCCCACAACTTTTGTCTTTCTCAATCCCTAACTCAAATAGTCAACTTTCTAACTCGCTTTCCAGACAAACCGAATCATTTACCTTCTCTACTCGACTTATGTCTTGTTTCTAATCCTAGTCAGTGCTCAGTTTCTCCACACTCACCCTTAGGTGCTTCTGATCATGGTTTGGTCTCTCTAAAATTATTATCTCATTTTTCTTTACCATCAGAATCCCCCTATCATTGTACATCTTACAACTACCTTAAAGCTGACTGGAACTTTTTCCGTGATTTTCTTCGTTATGGCCCTCAGGTAGAAATCTTTCGTCTTCCTGTTGACAAATGTGCTTCTTATATAACTTCGTGGATTCAGGCTGGCATGGAATCCTTTATTCCCTCTCGACGATTCCAGGTCAAGCCTCACTCTTCTCCATGGTTTTCCTCACATAGTGCTGCTGCAATTGCTAATCGAAACCATTACTTCCATATCTATCAGCAAAACAATTCTCCAGAAAACAGACGTCTGTTTATTACTGCTAGGAACCATTGTAAAAAGGTTTTGTCTAACACCAAAGCCCGCTATTCTCAGATCATGAAATCTCATATTTCATCACAAAAATTAGGCTCTCGTGACTTCTGGAGAATCTTAAATAGTATCAATATTAAAGGCAAGTCTGTAATTCAACCTCTTTTGTATGGTTCAGACTTTGTAACCTCACCTAAAGACAAAGCTGAATTGTTTGCCAAGAACTTTTCATCAATATCATCTCTGGATTTCACTAGTTGCGTTCTACCTGATATAGCCGTCAAACAGGTTGATCCATTGCTCGACATCCGTATCACTCCAGCTTCTGTATCTGAAGTGATTTCCTGAGAGGTTAAGGCCATCGCTCTTGACATTTCTAAGGCATTTGATAAAGTTTGGCATGCTGGTCTTCTCCATAAGCTTTCTTCTTACGGTCTATCTGAAAACATCTTTAAGATTATCAAATCCTTCCTTTCCAATCGTAGTATAAAAGTTGTCCTCGATGGACAGTACTCTTCTTTTTATTCTGTAACCTCAGGGATTCCTCAAGGTTCAATCCTTGGCGCTATACTCTTTTTAATTTTCATTAACGATCTTCCAGATATTCTCACATCTAAGGTGGCATTGTTCGCTGATGATACTACCATTTATTCTTGTCACGATAAGAAGCCAACTCCCTCTGATTGCTTGCAGGGGGCATCTGTGAAAAGGATCTCACTTCCGCTACAGCATGGGGCTCACAGTGGCTGGTGAACTTTAATTTAGATAAAACTTAATTTTTTTCAGCCAATTGTTATCGCAATTATTTTGACCTTCCTATATTTATGAACGGTAAAGTACTCGATGAGTCTCCTACCCTTCATCTTCTAGGATTAACTCTTACTTCTGATCTTTCTTGGAAACCTTATATCAAATCAGTTGCAAAATTAGCATCTGCTAAAGTCGGTTCTCTTTATTTAGCTCGTCACTTTCTTACTCTAGATTCTATTCTCTATTTCTATAAATCTCAAATCCGGCCTTGTATGGAATACTGTTGCCATATCTGGGGTGGATCTTCTAATGATGCCCTTTCTCTTTTAGACAAGGTGCAAAAACGCATTGTTACTTTCATTGTCATTCTCGCGTTACTCGTCATTCAATTAAGTCTCATCCTTTTTCTTTTGCTGTTCCTAAGTGCTCCAAAAACTCTTATTCATCTAGTTTTTTTCCTCGAACATCAGTTCTTTGGAATTCGCTTCCTTCATCTTGCTTTTTTGATTCATTTAATTTGCAATCTTTTAAGTCGTCTGTCAATCGTTATCTTGCTCTACAATCTTCATCTTTTCTCTTCCAGTAACTTCGAACACTAATTAGTGGTTGCTTGCAGCCTTGTTGGAAGGTAAGATGTTAAAAAAAAAAAAGTGTTGTGCTGTGAAACAATAGTGTTGTATTGTGTAACAAAAATGTTGTGTTGTGTAACAAGTATTGTTAAGTATTATAAACATCTTGCACAGTTCAAATGTTGTGCTGAGTGTGCACAATTTAAGTGGCAGTAGTAGTCCGAGTTCAATTTTTAAATATTTCATTTTTTTATACTTTTGTATATTTATATATATTATATACTATATATTTATTCTATATATATTTCTTTCATTTTTTTATACTGCATTGATTTTTATTTCATTTTTAATTTCATGTTACAAATTTTTTTTAAAACAGTGCAATCTGTTACAAATTTTTTGAAGGATATCATTAAAAATGATATCCTTCAAAACATTTGTAAATCAGATTTGGGAAAAGAGCTTATGCCTATTTTGGATACTAAAACAAGATGGAATTCTCTAATTATTATGTTAAAGCAATTTCTGGAATTAAAAAAATGTTATCAGAAAAGTTCTTGTAAATATTTAGAACAAATTTGATTTTATCATAAGAAGAAATAAAATACATTTCTGATATTGATCAGGCTCTTCATGTTGTAGAGTTAAGTGTTATGGCTGTGATCTTCATGTTGTAGAGTTAAGTGTTATGGCTGTGATTTTCATGTTGTAGAATTAAGTGTTATGGCTGTGATCTAATAAAATCTGATAAAATTATTTTGTTTTTACTTCAAAATCTTAGAGAACAAAATACTAACATTAATTACTGAGAATTACTGAAAGAAGAAATTATGTTATTGCCGGTTTACTATACTATTTGCATAATCCAGATGACTTTAAATCAGGTTTAGAGTTACCAGGTAATCTTTTAAAATACCCTAATAAAAATGAAATTGCTAAATTAGCATGAGATGTTTTCATACATTTGTTTCTACACGAAGAAGTAGAAACAGCACCTGAGTCCGATATTTAATCTACTTGTGTTGTAGAGCCGATAAAAAAAAACTAAAACTAAAGAATTAGCAGAAATGATATTAAATATAACTTCAACGACAGTAAAAAATAAAGGACTAGCTAGTAATTCATCCCCTCAAGAGGTTTTGACTTGTATTAAACAAGAAATGACAGTACTTGAAAGCACTGTAAAAAGACTAAACTCCTTAGAAAATTATACAACGCCATGCTTAGCCTTCCACCATCTTCTGTAGAAGCAGAAAGAAGTTTTAGTGCTGCAGGTTTATTTATTACTAAGAACTAGTTTAAATGATGACACTGTTAATATCTTATGTTTATTAAGATCTCAAGATGAAAAAAGAAAAAATCATAAGAAGTTGTTTACTTTTTTTCTACTGTAAGAGTTTATTTGTAAAAATTAATCAAAATTAATCAATTAATCGATTAATTTTCCAAAAGTTAATCAATAATCGATTAATTTGAAATACCAATTAATCTACCACCCTTAATTTTGTTTCCTTTAAATTTAGGGTTCTTTCTGAAGTTGAGTAGTAAATTAAGTAATATGATGACATGGAGTCTTCATGGATTAGGAAATTGTGCGTTATTAAAAGAATCTTAAAATAGATTTCTCTGATTTTCAGCCAATGCAAATTTTGCTGGTCTTTTGCATTAATTGGTGGTCATTTACTTATATTCATTCCTTATTGATAAAAGTACCTTTTATAATAATATTTTTTTTAATGTTAAACATAATTAATATTTTTATTTTCAATTGCCATAACTAATATTTTTATTTTCAATTGGTTAAACATTGCTATAACTAATATTTTTATTTTCAATTGGTTAAACATTGCCATAACTAATATTTTTATTTTCAATTGGTTAATGATTGGTTAAAAAGAATTAACTTAATGAGAATGATGGGTTAAAAAGAATTAACTTAATGAGAATGATGGGTTAAAAAGAATTAACTTAATGAGAATGATTGGTTAAAAAGAATTAACTTAGATATTTTGGTATATCAAGGACTAGTGTATTATATTGAAACAAAGAAAGAAATGATTTTAGAGTTTTATGATCATCTGAATATCCAAAAGTTTAAACATTGACTGATACCTCAAGGTATACAAAGTTTTTAAACTATATTTGTGAACTAATTAAATAACAAAAATATATAGCACATCAGTATAATTAAGTACATAGAAAAAATAAAGTCACAGAACAAATTTGGATTTAACTTAATTGGCTTCTAGTTTTGATTAAGCACATTATTTACTAAATTTAGTTTAATCTTATGTCTCTCATTTATTTACCTCATATCCCATTATATATTCACAAAAAAGTCTGCTAACCCTAACTCTGCTCATTTTCTTAAAATTCTAGCTAAAATTGTTAAAAAGCAGTAGTGGTGAAGTGATAGAGTCTTTGCTTCATAAGCAAGAAGTTCAGAGTTGGTTCCCCACCATGTACTTGGTAGTATTGTACTTAATTTGGTTTTCTGCCCTGCAGCCTTGTTTGTGTTTGGTTTGTGTTTTGGAGTTGTAGAGTTGAGAGAAGGTTGTAACTTTAATTAAAGTAGCCTCCTCAACTGTAGTTGTCTTCTCAATTATGAAGAGGTGAATTAAAATTTAAAAAAAAAAAGCTTAATTACTACATTACTCATTTTAAATAATTTTATTGCAAGTAATTATTTAAAGTCTTGTTCAAAAGAATAAGTACTTTAAACAAAAGTACTTTAAAATTGCCAACCTAATTGTTAGTATGGTATAAGTGAAGTGAGTTAATCTTTTATTTTTTTTATTTCTAGATATATGTTCTACGATTACAGAGGGTTGTTTAGCTTGCACATCTTTTGGTTGTGGTTGGGATTCAGATAAATTGTTATGTGTCAAGGCTCCGTTGTTAAAGGTAGGATTATATGTTATTTTATTTTTTGAAATTGATTGAATTTTCATCTATTTTTGAAGTTCTAATAAATGACCTTTTTTAGAAACATAAATTAATTGAGAAAAACAAGTTTATTTTGAAATGCATAAATTTATATATTAAAAAATTAACATACAAAATGTTAAAATAAGTAACATAAGAAGAATAATTTGCAAAATGTTGAAGTAAATAATTTGTAATTAGGAAAAGAGTAACAATGGAAAATGTTTTTCATTTTCTGTCAAGTTTACAGAAAGATAAACTTAATATTTTTAAATTTTTTCTATTTTTTTCCATGTTCAGGATTCCAAAGTGATTATTTCCTATAAAGACTGTAAGGACATGTGCTCAATCTTGTCTGATTGCAATGCTTGCAAATTAATGTCTAACTGCAGATGGACCAATCAAAACAATTGTGTTAACACAGCTCTAGCTAAGTCAGGTAAAACTTATTGTATCATTTAATGTCGTGAATGGTTCTAAATTTTATTAGAACTGTGATTAATTTGTAATATATGAAATTATTTGATTAACTATTCTTGTAATGCATGGAAATATTGGTGTAAAATAACTGTTCATGAAGAAATCTAAAGTACGGAGTATATATAAAACCATTTTCATGAAGAAACCTAAAGTAAAGAGTATATATAAACCATGTTCATGAAGAAACCTAAAGTACGGAGTATATATAAACCATGTTCATGAAGAAACCTAGAGCACGAAGTATATATAAATCATGTTCATGAAGAAACCTTAAGTAGGGAGTATATATAAACCATGTTCATGAAGAAAGTACAGAGTATGAAGTAATAAAGTAGAACAAAGTACAGAGTACCAAAAGGACCAAATAAATAAAAAATCCAATCAGCACTCACCAATTATTAAAATTTCCAATTAGCACTCACCAAATAAAATTTCCAATTCACTCACTAAATAAATAAAATTTCCTAGAACACTCACTAAATAAATAATTTTCCAATCAAAAATAACCAAATAAACAAAATTTCCAATCAAAACTTACCAACTAAATAAAATTTCCGATCAACACTCATCAAATAAGTAAAATTTTCTATCAATTTCTACATTTTATCTAATATTTTATTTTTAACTGTTTTATAATTTCAATTGCTGTTTCATATTCAACTGTGGTTTATTTGGTTTACTTGGTTTTTAACTATACTGTAGTATTAATTAGAATTTACTTGGTTTTTAACTATATTGTAGTATTAATTAGAATTTACTTGGTTTTTAGCTATACTGTAGTATTAATTAGAATTTGCGTGGTTTTTAACTAAACTGTAGTATTAATTAGAATTTACTTGGATTTTAGCTATACTGTAGTATTATTTAGAATTTACTTAATTTTTAACTATACTGTAGTATTAATTAGTATTTACTTGGTTTATAACTATACTATAGTAATAATTGGAGTTGCAAATATGTTCTGTATATCAAAGCAAAACCTTTCTAAAGTAAAAATCTGTATGAGTGTGAACATATGTGTGCAAAAATAATCGTAAAATTTTAATTGTAACATAATTGTAGAACATATGTGCACAGAAATAATTACAGTCATAAAAATACTTACACATTTTTATTGTTAAAACTAAATTTGTGTTTAGTTAGTTTCTTTGTTTAAACTGTTGCTTTTTTAGTTTCCTTGATTAAACTGTTGCTTTTTTAGTTGATTTTAAAAACATCAGTTAAAACAGGGTTTAAAAAATTTAAGTAACTATAATTTAGTTGATTTTTTTTATCAAAAGATTTAATCATGTCACAATGAGATAATCGTGTTATAATCATTACAATCATATGGCTTAATCATGTCATATCATATGACCTAATTATGTTACAATCCTATGACTTAATTATGTTATAATCATACAACAATACATATTTATATGATATATGATATTATGTCATACAACAATACATATTTATATGATATATGATATTATGTCATACAACAATACATATTTATATGATATGGTTTTATTTGACTATGATTAACTCTTGATTTTTTTTGACAAAATATTTTAACTTGAAAATCAATTTTTTGTTTTAGTAGAAGGGTTTTGTTTTACACCAGAGAAAAATATCTCTTGCAAAGAAATAAAAAATTGTTCCACTTGTTTAAGTGCAAACTATAACTCACTCTGCATTTGGTGTGAGTCTCAACAACAGTGTGTCAACTCTCAAACATACCCAATCAGTTATCCGTATGGACAATGCCTTGAGTGGATTTCTGATGGATGTCAAAGTATTTTTTATTTTTAATATTTAATTTATTAGCAAAAAAAAGTTTCTTAAAAGTAATAACTCAAGTGCACATTTGTTGAACAAAACTAATTTTTTGTTTTAAATAATTTATAGAATGCATTATAAACTTTGTGAATATGCTGTGATTGATGAACCTTGTCAATGAGTATAATAGTTGTTAAAGTTGTCAATCACAGTTTTTAATGTTTTTAACTTGTATATTAAGATGGTTACGACTTTTTTTCTAAAACAAACAAAAATAAAGTCGATCTATCAATTTTTAAATGTATGAATCTAATTTGTACTGAGTAATCAGTATTTTTATTTTATTTTGTACCATATAAACTCTAATGAGGTATCGAAAAAAAACAAGTGTTATTTGTTATAAAGTTATTTTTCTGATTGCTTTGATTATAAAAGTAACAAATAATTCTATTGTAATCATATGTTACATGTTGTCTATCAACTAATTATATCATTATTGTAGTCACATGTTACATGTTATCTATCAACTAATTAAGTCATTATTGCAATTAGTAAGTGACCAAGTTTGATAATTGACTGGGTCCAGGGTTGGGTCCGGGGGCTGGGTTTTTGGCTAGGGCTGCATAAGCAATTATACATCTTAAAGTATTTTTTTTTATTCAAAATTCATGTTATATTTAGTATATATATGCATATGTAAACATCATTATGATCGACATAATCATCATTACCATCATGATCATCATTATCATAAACATCATCATCATTATCATCATTATCATCATCATCATTATTATCATTATCATCATCATCATCATCGTTGTCATCATCATCATCATCATCATCATCATCATCATCAGGTTATAGCCTTTCTCTTTTATGCTGTTTCTCTAATAATCTAGAATAAACAATCTAGAGCATTTTCTTTCAAACCTCATACAATATTTAAGGCACTCTCTTCAAGTTTTCCTATGTCTACCACTATCATTTTCTCCTGAAGCTACTACCTCTCTACTTGCTGATATCTAAATCACTTTAATCTTCTCTAACAAATGTTGTCTGATAAGATGTCTTTTTCTAATCTGTCTAAGATTATGCCTCTTTTTCTTGTCGTGTTAGAGTCACACCACACATCCATCTAATCATCTTCTCTTTTGGTAAATACTACACCATATAAATACTAAAGTTTATATAAATATGAAAGGATCTTGTTGTAATCACATGTTACTTGTTATCTTTCAACTAATTAAATCATTATTGTAATTACATTTTACTGTTGTCTATCAACTAATTGAATCATTATTTATGTGAATGCTGAAGTAAAATGTATAAAAAACTAGGCTCTTTTTATTTATAATTCTATTTTATGTTGTTGAAAAAAACCCTAATTTTGCTGAAAATTATCTTTAAAATTTATTTGAGATATTGAGATTGATTTTAATGGGAACTTTGTTGCTAAACTCTAATAATTCACATTGCTAAACACATTATAATAATTCGCAATATGTTTCATTGCAAAAAATTTTGACAACAAAAATCCAGGACATTTGCATTTTTTTACCATTTGTCTCCTGTTTGAAGGTTCTTGAAATTAAACCCACAATTCTCCTGTTTTTTTAACTTTAACACATAGTTGTAAAACAGCAAGATAAAATAACAAATAAAAAATAAAAAAATGAAAAAAAAAAACTAACCTTGTTTTATCTTGTTACCATATTTTACCTTGTTTTATCTATAGTACCACTTTAAGCTAAAAAACATTTGCTGTCTCATTTATTTATATTTGTTTAATTTTTTAAGATGTTAAATGTGAATTACAAGTGACATGTCAAAAGTGTTTTCAATTACCTGGATGTGGGTGGTGTGATGATGGAAGTGGTACAGGCTTAGGTTGGTGCAGCAAAGGTACTGACAATGGATCATTTAATAACACATGTCAAAAGAAAAATTGGTACTTTACAGATTGTCCAGGTACGCTTAATTTAGGTTTTTTATTAGCTAGTTGAGTGATTAATATAATATAAAATTTACGCATAGTTACACATTACACAATATTTACAAGGGATCACTTATTTAAATCATTATTTATTTATAAATGTCGATTAAGTGTTGTTTGAACAAACAATAGTTTATAAAAGTTATGTGTATTATAAAAGTAATAACACTATTATAGTTTTATTAATTTTATAACACAGTTAGTGACATTATTACTGTTAATACTTTTGTAATTGTAAGTTTATTATTGTTATTTTTTATTTATTTATTTTTTAATCTGATTTAATCCCAACAAGGCTGCAATCACCCACTATTAAGTCGAGAGTTATTAGGAAAAAAATAGTACACAAATTTGCATAAATTATAGTTTTGAAGGCCAAATATTTTTCAAAATCCCAATTCACAATCCATCGATTCAACCCTTGATTTAATTTTTATATATTTATATTTACTCCAATAATTATCTGTGGCATTTTGTGTTTGAATTAAGTTGAAGTTGGCGCATATTACAATACAAACTATTTTTTACAAGTGCTGAACTATACACTTCAAAGCAAATATTGTTTGTTTTATTCTGTAACCAACTTCCATGAAGCACCAGTTTTCTAATTGTTACCTGATCCATATAATTGATGCAAAAATAAAAATTAACAGTAAACAATAATTTACAGTTAAATTGGTAAAAATTGTTTACCTGTTAAATTTAATTTTTGGTACTTTTAAGTTAGAACATTTTAATTTCAAAAAATTTTAAACAATCTTATCAATGGATTCTTGGCTTTACTCAAATTTAAAGTTCTATAAAAAAAAACTTTGGTTTGAAGATAATGAATTATGTCAATTACAGATAAAACTTCTATAATAGTGGTATTTGAAAGATCAGTTTCAACTGAACAATAAACTTGTTATTCATATTTAGCGGTTCAGGTATTATATATGAAGCTTTCTTCAACAGTATTCCTCAATATGCTAAGAAGAAGAAAATAACAAAAGTTAATAGTGGCTAATCTGAATTCGACATTTGAAAAAATTATACTCTATGAAGCAAGTAAAAAAGTCTTGAAGTTTTATTCAATGGGATGACTACTATTCCTCTAACAAATACTGAGTTAAATCAGACTTTTTGCTGCTGCTTTTCTTTAGCAAGAATTTGATGTGATGAATGATTTAACACATTTTTTACCAAGTCAAACATTACTGTTTTGTTTTGTTTTGTTATTCAGTATTTTCTGCACATAGTATATGGCTTTTAGTTTTCACTAAAGTTATCAAAAAGTTTTGATTTTTGACCATCAAGTTTTGATATTTGAATGCAGTGAAAAAAAGACATTTGTTGATAAAAATGAAATATTTATTACGATTAATGTGCGTGACAGACAAAACAAGCTTGATTTAAAAATATTTATTATGATTGGGTGACAGAGAAAACCATGAAGTGAAACTTAACTTAAAAGGACAAGAAATAAAAGCTTTTGTGAAAATATTTAAATAAGATATGAAAATATTTACTAATTTTTTTGTGAGGTTTTTTGAAATTAAGTGACAAAAGCAAAAAACCATGAGTATAGTCAAGAACTTCTAGTGAAACAACCACTGTTGTCCAATGTTTACTAAGTAAAAAATGCAGTTGTTTGAGTTATTAACAGCTAAACCAATGGTAAAATGAATATTAAGTGATCAACTTATATTCTTAAAAGTATGGCGAATCTAAACAACCCTACAGTCACAGAAAAACCTTGAAAAAAAAGGAGTTAAAGGGAGGAAAAGATATTTTGCTCAAAGATTAATATCAAGACCTAAGATTAATAAACCATGTTACAGGAACACCATACAATAGAGTACCGTTGCGGTTCTAAAAATAAATTTTATAAATTTTTTCCAAAGCTTTATTGGATTAAAATGCAGACAAACAAAACAAAATGCAAAGAAACTTAATTCCAATTCAGAAGAAAATTTGTATAAAAAGTGAAATAAAATAATGTTATTAGGATTCTCATCAGATTCTTGCCTTGAATGTTTGCCAGATGTTATAATTTACAAAAATAGGAATAACTAAAGATTTAATGACAAACTTGCAAAAAAGGATAGAAGAAAAATAAAGCTTTCAAAATTATATATTTAAACAAAAAGTTTACATCTTGTAGATTTTCTTGTTAAAAAGAATAAAAATAATGTTAAAATAGATGCAAATAATATTTATAATCATCATAACAAAGAAATTTGTCAACTCTTTATTAGTTCTGATATAAATACAGAATGCAGCGTTGTTGATTTTAATACTGGAAATAGCTATGATTTTATTGTTGATATTTTGAATCATTTAGTCCTTTATTATATGAACATGAAAAATTTATTTTTATGGCTTTAATGAATGGCAATTTTCTACTTTTATGACTTTCTTAGACCAGCAAAATTATCAACTTTTATATTTCAACTATTTTTAGCTTTTGGAAAATATACCCACTCTAAATGTATTAAAATTCATTAAATTCATTTGTTTATTAAATTTCACTTATTGCCAAAGAAAACTGTCTACAGATATAAATAAAAACTTGGAGTAATCGGGCTTCAAAATGTCAAATTTAAACTTACTGATCAAAATGAAAACTTTCATTGTAATCAGCTCTTAAAAATTCACAAACTCTAAACACAAATTCATAAAGTTATTGAGAGTTTGTATTGAAAACTGGTAAACTTGTATTGTTGTTGTTACACATTTTTGAGTTGTTTGTCCGCATTTTTAAGTTGTTTGTCTGCATTTTGATTCAAGAATCTTTAGTTTTAATTTATTCAATATATGCGTGACGAAAGCCAAACCGTAGCCTATTATATTTATCTGAAGTGTTTTGAAGTTACAACAGATGATGATAGAATAAAGTTAATATCATATTTCAACAACTTGAAAACAAAGGATGACCAGGGTTTGTATATTTCTTCCTTTATTTCTGCAGCAGAAAAGTAATTATGAAACAGTCTCAATTTCAAAAGACATTTATTTTATTAGCAGTTTGTTTACAACGGGGTGTTTGTCTGGTTTATACAAACTTAATACAAAGTGATATAATACAGACAATATGGATAAAATAAGTTTCAGCAAAGTAATGGTTGCAAGTGCAGTTGTTTTCATTAGAAAGGGAGGAGGAGAGGAAAGGCTTTAACATTCCCTCACAAGCATCTAATAATTTGTGATTGTATATATTGTACTACCATATTCTTTTAGCAAAATAAGTGCTCTAAAAATGTACAAGATAATGTGTATATGAGCTGATGAATTTACAATGAAAAAATCACAGATATCCAAAATGAGTGTCTTGTTTTCAAATGAACACTGTGAATAATTTAGTTGAAAGCCTGCATAACTATATTGATAATATGTCGTAAAAAAGTTTTTAAAGGGATCCTAAACTGCCGAGACAAGTTGTGTTCATATTAAAGAAAATAATTTAAAAAAACATTCGGGCTTTATTTTTTTGATTAAAACTATATAATGAATGCACACCATTAAGTTTAAAATTCACGTTTTAGTCGAAGCTCGCCGTCTACATTTTTTTTTGGTTCTTGGAGTCTGTATAATGTTAGCCGCAATCTGCAAACTTGATAATTTATTCCATGCGCGTTTAATTCATAACAGTTTTGGTATATAACGTCATCGTATAAATTTTTTCTTTCAAGATGATGTATTATTTTTTTTCCACAATCACCAAATCATGTTAATTGTATAACTTTTTACTAAATCCCCAAAAAAAGTTTATGATGAAATTAAGAATTAAATTTATAAAATTTATAAAAATAAAAATTTAATATATAACGAATATTTACAGTAAACTAAATATAAACTAGATACTAAAAGAATAATTTTACTAAAGCGTATAAGTTAATTTAAAGTATAAACTGAATAAAAAACGAGTGACGTGAACAAAACATTTAAACTGAACTAAGTAGAAAATAAACATTAAACAAATTATTTTACTAATAACCGTTATAATCGAACTAAATTAAAGTTAATACAAATATATGTACTAAAATATACACAAAATAGTTAAAATATGAAAATAAAAAAGAATCGCATTAAATTTAAAAATCGCAAAAACAATTAGAAATTCAAAGTGCTTAAAACTATTGTTTTTATTAGTAGTTAACTAAAACATTAAGTCTTAAACAAACCTCATTTAATGAATAAAAATTATATTTTTTCTTCAAAATAATTTGGTAATTACTTAACTAAATACTTAACACTTCTACAAGTTAAGTTTTACAGTGTTAACGCTGTTTTATTTTATAACTAAATTTAAAGTTTTTTTTAAAAAAGGATTATTCAAGATTTTTTAACTTTGTGATGACTTTTTTTATAATAACACAATATAGCTCTTATTTTTTCTTAATTATGTAGAGAATTTATTAAACCTTTAGAACAAACAAATTCTGTGTCTAGAATGGAAATTTATGTACAAAACAATATAAATTGTAAAGCATATGCGAAAACCGCTACCAGTGGCTTGCGGTAGTGAAAGAGTTAAACCATAACTAAATGTGAATTAAACATAAAACAAACAACTCTATTAAACCATATGAACTAAATATAAAAGGAGAAACCGCATCATACTGCCTTTATTTTTTCTCTGCCTGCGAACTCTGATAATCACAAAATATGTTTAGTTGTGTCATGATTTTGGCTTGCTTTTAAAACAAAGTAATAATAAAGCAAATAAAAAAAAAATTATAAATATAAAAGATATATATATATATATATATATATATATATATATATATATATATATATATATATATATATATGTATATATATATATATATATAATTAATCAAATATTTGTATAATTTATTATTAATAATATTAATAATAAATTATACAAATATTTGATTTTCTAATTTTAGTAGAGTAAAAAATACTTATATCTTTAAAAAAAACAACAACAAAAAAACGCTATCTTAAAAAGATATTGCGATGACATCATATA